TGAATGAACTTACGGCCTGGCTCTCGGGGGGAAAACCCCAACTCTGCCTTCTGGTTAGTCACCTAGAGAAGAGAACACACATGGGGTAGAGCTGCTCAGCCATAATATGATACCCCATTCACTGTGTGCTGTAAAAGAGCCACACCTGCTCAAGCCAGGTAACTAGGTAACTGACATAGGGATTAACTATTTTAGATGATGTGATCTAGCACTAAAACCTCAAAGAGGAGAACAGTGACCTGAGTTCCTACACCTAATACAAATAAACCTCTGTGAAAGATGTCAAGCCCAAGGGCAAGCCTGCTCTGTGGGAGTGACATTCTATTCCTACATGTTGTCTGGGTGCTTCAGGCTGATAGGTTGGAACTAAAGGAACACTTGGAGGGCAGGTTCCTCCCAACTCACGAATGCAAAAGGGTTCCAAGAATCCAGGAGAACCAAAACGTCTCACAAAGAGTGTAGGAGACAGTTATGCAAACAGAAGACATACTCACTTGCCAATGTCATCTTGATCTGCAAACTTCTCATCGTTGAAGCCAAACTGGTCAATAAAATTGGACGTCATTTGTTGCATCTGATAATCAGAAAAGGCCTGGCAACCCCAGGACCAGTGACAGTGATATAATGATTCTAATGATATTCTACATACTATTTGCTCATTTGTTTTCCAGAAATCATCTTATTTATATAGCCATAGGGCCTAAAAAGTTGGTGTGTTTTTCTAAAAAAAAAAAAAAATCAAATAATTTCAGACACGATTTACCCCAAAAAGGAAATGTTTGGAATTTGGTCCATAAATTATTCTAATGCACATGTCATGTAAGAAATGTTAAGTGACCACTGACCTCTATTCCAAATTATCTTTAGAGAGAGGTTTGGGTCTAGTTCAAAAGGGTGATCAAGTGACATGTGACAGTCTGAAATTATAAGGTTTATCAGTCACCTCTGAACACAACCAACCTTATCTTAAGATCCAACCAATGGTAACCACCCACCTTCCCTCTTTGCATCTCCCCACCCACAGTCCACTACAGCAACATGGCACCAGAGGAAAAATGACTAATAATCACAATCACAATCCTACAACACAATGTTCAGGGGCACTTCATTTTCTTAAAAAAAAGATTTAAGGCTCAGAGGCTAGGAAGAGTAGAAAAGTAACTACTATCCTACCTACCTTAGAGAGAGGACAGAAAGTTATAACACTGATCCAAAATCACTCTGAAAAGCCTACAACACTTAAAGACCCATGCAGGAGTCGGCTGTTGTTTACTACACCGTTTCTAGAGAGCACCAGGCTCACTTGGGTTCTCTTAGGCAAGAAAGGGGGAATGTTAAAATGGACTCCACAAAAATGTTGCTATTCCAATTTCAAACACCAAGCAGGCCTGGGGGAACAAGCGAGGTCAGCAAACGTGTTCCATGTTCTCAATCAGGAGTAAAGAACAGATGAAGATATGCAAGTGCCACTCCTCACTCTGCCCCGAGCAATATATATGGAGACAAATAAAGTGCGTGCTGCCCACGGACAGAGATGTGTACGGACCTCGCGGGGGCACAAGCAGCAGCTGGCAGCTGAACTAAAAGCGTCGCTCCTGAGGCCACTACTGGGAAGGCCAAGTTCTCCTCGGTTCTCCATCTGAGTAGAGCCCACGGACTCTACCCTACAGACAAACACTGCAGAAATGCCTCTGCCGTTAATTCCTGATTATTCATTCTGGTGGCAGGGAATTATGGCATGGATAATCCAAATAGTGGATAATTTCAAAATAAACCTTATATTTGGCTTTGGAAGGCATCTTTTCCTTAGGTCTAAAAAATGCTGCATCTAGTTTACCGAGAACCTAAAACCTCACTTTTCTCTACCTTGATACCCACCACCCCTCTGCTCACTCTCACACTTTCCCGCTGCTCCCTTCCTTGCCCGAAGAGACAATACTACATGAGCACATGAGCACTTGGGGCCAGCCCCCCAGGGGTGCATTTGGTAAGGCACACCAAAGCTGTGGGAGTTCGGGTGAAAGCAGAACGGTAGGGACAAGTTCTGGGAGGCTGGGCTGAGTTTTGGAACATACGAATATAAAATATTGTCAGTAGAAAGAAACCAACTCATCTGAATTGCTTTATCTTTTTTTTTTTTTTTGCAGTACAAGGGCCTCTCTCTGCTGTGGCCTCTCCCACTGCGGAGCACAGCCTCCGGACGCGCAGGCTCAGCGGCCATGGCTCACAGGCCCAGCCGCTCTGCGGCATGTGGGATCTTCCCGGACCGGGGCACGAACCCGCGTCCCCTGCATCGGCAAGCGGACTCCCAACCACTGCGCCCCCAGGGGAGCCCCTGAATTGCTTTATCTTTTTTTTTTTTTTTGCAGTACAAGGGCCTCTCTCTGCTGTGGCCTCTCCCACTGCGGAGCACAGCCTCCGGACGCGCAGGCTCAGCGGCCATGGCTCACAGGCCCAGCCGCTCTGCGGCATGTGGGATCTTCCCGGACCGGGGCACGAACCCGCGTCCCCTGCATCGGCAAGCGGACTCCCAACCACTGCGCCCCCAGGGGAGCCCCTGAATTGCTTTATCTTTTTTTTTTTTTTTGCAGTACAAGGGCCTCTCTCTGCTGTGGCCTCTCCCACTGCGGAGCACAGCCTCCGGACGCGCAGGCTCAGCGGCCATGGCTCACAGGCCCAGCCGCTCTGCGGCATGTGGGATCTTCCCGGACCGGGGCACGAACCCGCGTCCCCTGCATCGGCAAGCGGACTCCCAACCACTGCGCCCCCAGGGGAGCCCCTGAATTGCTTTATCTTTTTTTTTTTTTTTGCAGTACAAGGGCCTCTCTCTGCTGTGGCCTCTCCCACTGCGGAGCACAGCCTCCGGACGCGCAGGCTCAGCGGCCATGGCTCACAGGCCCAGCCGCTCTGCGGCATGTGGGATCTTCCCGGACCGGGGCACGAACCCGCGTCCCCTGCATCGGCAAGCGGACTCCCAACCACTGCGCCCCCAGGGGAGCCCCTGAATTGCTTTATCTTTTTTTTTTTTTTTGCAGTACAAGGGCCTCTCTCTGCTGTGGCCTCTCCCACTGCGGAGCACAGCCTCCGGACGCGCAGGCTCAGCGGCCATGGCTCACAGGCCCAGCCGCTCTGCGGCATGTGGGATCTTCCCGGACCGGGGCACGAACCCGCGTCCCCTGCATCGGCAAGCGGACTCCCAACCACTGCGCCCCCAGGGGAGCCCCTGAATTGCTTTATCTTTTTTTTTTTTTTTGCAGTACAAGGGCCTCTCTCTGCTGTGGCCTCTCCCACTGCGGAGCACAGCCTCCGGACGCGCAGGCTCAGCGGCCATGGCTCACAGGCCCAGCCGCTCTGCGGCATGTGGGATCTTCCCGGACCGGGGCACGAACCCGTGTCCCCTGCATCGGCAAGCGGACTCCCAACCACTGCGCCACCAGGGAAGCCCCTGAATTGCTTTATCTTTTAGAAGGTATGACGCATGGTTGGTAGCTTCAAAGGTGTGGCAAAGAATCACGAAGTCCTCCTTCCGAGCAAGCAGTGTAAGCCAGGCTCTGAGTTTACTGACAGATTAGAAATGTGGCTGCACGAGGGGAAAAGGTCCTTTTCAACTGTTTTGATTCTTTTTTTTTTCTTCTTTTTCTTTAAATGTTTTGTACTTCTAGAGATCATACTGTAAATCTTTTGGGTGTAAAATGGAAGAAATATTCCCAAAAGTGTTCCTTTAAATGCTTTGTAATACTTTAAATGCTTCATAACAGAATGCAAATACTAAGTGTATTATAAATACATGTGTGAATGCATACATGTACAAACATATAGGTACATACACAGATACACATAAACATGCACACACATATTTGCATTGTCTCTCTTCACCTATGGAGGGAGATATATAGCAGCTGACAGACACAGCCTCCACGTAGTAACGCAGAGGAAAAGAAAACCAACAAACCGTAGTCCTCATTAGTTCTGAGTCTACTGTAGCTTCTAGGAAGATAAAGCCAGCAAAGAACTCAGGTTTCAAATCTGATTTTGACTAATAAAGCCATCTAGGCTTACAAGACCCACGTAAGTGAAGACTGCTACTGTATTCTGTTTAAAGCTTTATAGAAGTGTTTTGGACTCTGAGAAATCCAAATCTGGAAAGCACCATACAGTTGTGTGATTATTAAAAACTTTTAATTATGCAAAAAAGGGAAAAAAAAAACCCCACACGTCTCAGAACTGTCATCCTGGCCAAAGCCAGGGACTGTTCAAGTCACTGAGAAGGGAGCCCCCCGCTTTCTTAAGTAAATCTCTTGGGTGGACCCACCTGGGCAACAGAAAGTCCCCGTCCACAGACCTGACGGCCTATGAACAAGCCTGTTGAGGACGGGGGCAGCGGGAGTGGTGTTCATCCTTGGCAGCCAGCCCTAGTTCTTCAGACACCACACGAGGAAGACCTCCTCACCCTTTACCGTGAGGCAGCCTTAGGAGGAGGAAGAGTCAAGCTCCAGAGGTGAGGAAACCAGAAGGGGCACCAAAGCTGTGAGCACGCCCCGAGCCAAGTATGGCCCCCCCAGGTCTGTTAAATGAGCTGCCCTAAGCTCTCTGTACTCGAGCATTACCAACAGACCTAGCTTTAAATGTGAATGAGAACCTCAAATTGATATATATAAACTGATTTGATTATAAAGGAGACCAGCATGAAATTCTTACATTAACCTAGATTTGTATTCTTAAATTCAGAAAAAAATGCTTTGGAGTATGTTTACTTTCAAAATGATCCATGACTGGTGTATAGTTTAAACATGCTAAGAAAAGTTTACTGGAAGGCTGTCAATCAGAAAAGAGTAATTATTCTTCCTACTTTTAGAGGGTTACATAAAGTGGATAAAACCCACAGGTACAATAGTAGCCTGGTATTAAGGCAGTTTGGTGACTGGGCTTGCTTTATATGCACATCAGCAGTCAAAGCAAAAAAATGTTAGAAAATTCTCCCCAGGAAAGCTATGACCCTGTAACCAGATTTCAAGAGATGTAAGGGAATCCACTTTCCTGGTACCAAAATGTCACCAGTACCCAATTAAATCAGTTGCCCAGAAGTTCCGAGTTTTAGCTTATTTACAAATAGATGTTTAAGGGCATTCTTTTTCTTAAAGCTATTCGCCAGATCAAAATTATCTTGAAAATGTACATTGTACACCATCAATTTTCTTTGTAGGGGTGGAGCAATGTGTAGCACTGGGGTTCAGACCAGGACGAGGGGACTAATTCAATACTGCCCAGGCGCTCCAGGGTCGGGCAAGGATTGCTCAAAGGCATGAGGGCTCACAGTGAGCCAGCTGGGCCCACGGGGTGGCCACTGCTGCCGGACAGCAAGCCAAGGTGAGAGGTGGCAATGAGGCCCTGCTGCTTGACAGCTCCCCGCCCCTCTCCTCAGGAGGCTGGCTTCCAAAGGGCAGTGTCAAGAATCAAGAGAAGCCTGCCAGCCACCAAAATGCTACCTCAGGCCTAGCCTGAAAACATGAATGTTAAACTGCCTTAGTACCAAACCAAGAAACTGCTTAGCTCAACCTACATCACCAGAGTGTGTCAGTCTACTTGGACACCGAAAGGCAAGGCCAGCATAAGCATCAGAAGCTTCATCCTAGCTTTGGTAAAAGGGGCTTAAAGATGGAGAAAAAAGAAGCTAAGCAACATTCAGTGCCAGGTGGGAAGGTGACAACGTCAATTCCACGGCCACACCCAAATCAACCAACAGGCCCAGACCTGGTCCTGACTAAGGACAGCTACTTCATACGAAGAGCTGGTAACTTTCAAAGGGGCGTCTCTATTTAGCTCCCCAACCTGCTACCCAGTGGAGACAGTGAAATCATTCCTCACCTCCCCAAGAACCACCAATGGATGATGAATCAGCACATTTATTTCTATATCCTGCTCTCTCCCCCACAAAGATTACCAGCAGCTGATAAAAGCAATGAATTTGGGAACAGGAGGACAGGGTGGCAATGAATTACTTCAATTACAACTTAACTGAGATGTCACTACACAGTTTGAAGATACTGGAAACACATAAGCCATCTGGGGCTCAGGGATATTGTGAAAGTTACTTTCACTGACATTAAACAAGTCTTCTTATTCTTATCCACAGACCTCTACTGCAGGAACTGTCTACTGTGCAGGTCTGGATAATGAGCATGTCTGAGGTGCTTACTGAACTGTTCAGTTCATTCAAATCTCCTGAAAATTTACCGGACTCATCAGTATTATCAGAACTGAAGAAACATTCCCTGGAATTACAATCAACATAAACCTTCCTCTCATGTACCCAATGCTTCCTCTTTTAAATGTCTTTGCCTAGCTAACAGGTTAACCCCAAATCACAACCTAATGCATGTCTCACTCCAACGCTGATTCACAAATGGCAACTAAACTAAGCATTTAAAATAAAACAAAAAGCAAAACTTTAGGCATGACTCACTTGCTGCAAAGAAGAATCCTGTGAGAAACCCGTTTCTTTAAAGTCAATTTCATCATCACTGGATGAATGAATATGGCAGGTTGTAACCTATATGCATAGAAATGTAAAAAACTATTTAACAGAGAAAAGTTTTGGACATTTGTATCAGCATTTTTACGGAAAAATCACATTTAGTTTTTCTCTCAATGTGTTAACAACAGCAGGAACAAAAATAAGTAACAGCTAAGTTGTAAAATCCACCCAATAATTCAAGGGTACACTTCACTCAACCGGATGGTTTGGCTGCCTATCCTTCTGCTGCCCACCTGTGGTTACTTCACTCATGATTAACAGCACCAGAAAGCATGTGAGAGCTGTGGTACTCCATTTAAGTGATTTTGGTAATTATCTCCAATAGAGATGTTTACAAAGGGAAGGAAGAAGTTAATGGCTCAGATAAAATATAAAAATAATTAAATATGCCAAGCCTGAAGGGTAAAGTTGCAATTCCCAGGGATCACTAATGAGCCACTAGAAAGGTCAGGTTTAAATACAATCATTTCACTTTAAATTCTTGCATTTCTTGCTCGTTCTAAGAAAAGCATTGTTCATAAATGCTAAATATGACTTAGGTCAGTAGTCCCCTGCTCATTACAAGACCCCCAAGTCTTCTGCCGCTTAAAACGTAACCCCCTGCCCTCACAACTTAAAACCAACTCACATTAATAAGCAAAAGCATAAACACGAACTGCTCACCAATTCATGGTAAGTGATTTTTATTAATTCATAAATGTATTAACAATTAGAAATGAAGATATACAAATGGCTAAGCACCACACTAATGACAGTAATTGCTCTACAGCAAGTAATAAAAATGAACAGTCTGTAAAATTCTAAGAACAAACACTATACTTCTAAGGGTAACTTACACTGTATTTTCTGAGTTATTCGTCCCGTACTTTTTGTAGAAGTGTTCTGGGCAAAGAGAACTGTCCTTGGGGGAGACACAAGCAACCGTTACCTGCCAGCCCTTGAAGCCGTGCCTAGAAGCCTAGAGTTATAGACGCCAGCCTGGTTTGCTTTGTGATGTTCCAACACTGATTCAAGAAGCCCAAAGTAGAATCCAACTGAGTTTGTATGTGGTATGGCTTATGAAATTCTGAATAAATCACTGCCTGAATAAAATTAATCTCTTTTCCCTTTGTCTGGCTATCTTTGGTGAAGATACTGAGTCCAAGTGAATAACCCAGTGTTTCCAATTAATTCCCTCTCCATCCTCCCTAAACTATAGAGAAAGCATTCACACTAATTTTGAATCCGGCCTGATGAAATCAAAGGCAGAATTTGTGATCAATGAAGGGAACCTGCTTGAGTCAACTGTGGCTTTAGCAAGCTGGTGAGAAAGATATGGGGGTGAGGGTGTTCCAGGAGAGCCCAGCCAGGATGCAGAAAGGAGGTGGTGGAATACTGCTTGGTCACGGCAGCTGGCACCTTGCAGGGCAACTGCAGTCAAGAGCAGGTCAAGCTGTTCCACTGCAGCGGATTTAGGAGCTTTGGGCAACTTGGCTGGCCAGTACAAGAATCATATTAAGCCCATGTGTGTTGTAGGGGTGCAGCACCACGGAGGGCGGGGAGGGCACAAAAACAGAAGACAATTCAAAGAGCAAGCTCGGTGAACTAGAGAGGAAAAAAAGGAGCTGACTACTCCTAGTATGTCTTGTTTAAGTTCAAAAAGGGTATAATGTGTCCTCATTCATACTTTTTGCTACAAAATAAGATTTTTATCAGGTCATTAATTAAAATAAGCAACTAGCTTTTGTTGAGCAACTACTATGTGCCAGACACTGTGACCCCCTTATATATTCTCCTTAACTTGTATCCTCAAAGCAATTAATTTTTTCCTCCAAAAGGAAACTACTGTTTTACCAAGTTATTATTAATAGTAACACAATGCCTGCACACCTTCTCAATTATGTTTTTAAAAGATGTGGGGACTCTGATCCTACCTACACCATACCCAGTCTGAAATCGTTATTAATAAAATGAGCTAAAAGATCATTTTATTTACCTACAGGGGAAAACCTGTTCATCTCAGTCCCTGATCTAAGCTTCCAAAACACACCCCTTTTGAGGCATCTTCAGCTCAGGAAATGCCTCTTTCATTCCTCTTCTTCCAGCTAAAATCTTAGTCATCTTGTTTCTTCTGTCTCACCCACATCTGTCCACTCTACTGTCAATAATGGAACCTAAAATCCCATCACTTCTCATCAAGTCTATTATCACCTCCTTAGTGGAAAATTTCTCCCTCGTCTGGATTAACACTATATTAGGCATCTAACCAGTGTCCCTGCCTCGACCTTTTGTCCCACTATAGTCTATTCTCAATCCAGCAGCCACAATGATCGTTTAAATCATTACAGGATTTTAAATCACTGACATCAAATCGTGTCACTTTTTATTTAGTTCCGAACCTAACGGTTTCATCTCACTAAGATCACAACCCCAGGAGCCTGCCGTGAAGCTGCATGAGATCTGGCCCGCAGAACCTCTAAATCTCTCCTCCCATTCTCTCCCTGGCCCGCTCTGATACAGCCACGTGGGCGCTGTGCCGGCCTCTGCACTCGCTCTTCCTCCCCCACTTCCCTCCAGCCTCTACACAAATGTTCTCCATGGCATTTTCCTAGACCACCTAATTTTAAATTGCACATCTGCCCAAAACACTCCCCGACTCCCTCCCCCTAGTTTACCCTCCATCTGTTTATCCATCTCCACTGAGGCATGGATTTTTGCCAATCTTGTTTAGTGCAATATCCACAGTGTCCAGCACACAGCAGCCCCTCAAATATTTCACGAATACTAGTAAATCACTAAATGAGAATACAGAATCATAACTTTAAAAAAAGTAACAAGTACATAAGAACATTCTTGCCAAGCAAGATGCATTCTAAGTAAACTATACTCTTGATGCTACAGTGAAAAAAACGCTTTTGAGTTGTTACCTTCTTTCATAATAAAATTTCAGTTTTATTAACTGTCTTTAAAAGAAAAAGCAAATAAGAGTTTTCTTCATCTTGGCTGATTAGGTTGCTAGGAGAATCCTAAGTATGACTTGATAACTGGTAACCTCCAGTGAAAAGTGGAAGCTACAGACACTTGCTCCTTGCTGCACGTGGTCCCACTGTGGACCCCCAGCACTTACATGACTTGGGGATTGGTTAGAAATGCAAACCCTCAGACGTTCCACCTTGACCTGCTGGATCTCCAGGCAGTTCATATGTGCATGTTTGTATTACGCTACACAACCTCCATAAACCATCTCATAAACTACCTCAACCTTAAAAAAAAAACCCTCGCCCTTGCAGAGGCAGGCCGAGAATGAAACAAACTCAATTTTCCAAAGTCAGTACAGAAACATTGCCTACGTTACCTAAATTTACTCTAAATCCTTACCAATTTTTACAGTTTGGGGGCTTAGTCAAAACAATGCGGCCTCTGGATATAATTAAAACACCAAATTTTACTCATGATAAACTCCCAACATAAAAACGTAAGCAGTATATGAATCTCTTGTTCATACACTCTGGCACGACGGGGTCAGAGGATTCAAGTACCTCAAGATCTCAGAGAGAAGGTAATTCACATGTTGCCCTAGAAGTGACAGGAGCGGGAAGATAGATGTTGCCCTAGAAGATGCCAGGAGCCTGGGGCTGGCACAGCTTATCCTACATAACTGAGCAAGTCCTCAGGCCCACAGCCAGTAGAATAGGTGAGTGAGTGCTGTATAAATGAACGAATCCTGGCTGTGGTTAGAAAATAAAGAACAGGCCAGGGCAACCTAACAATGCATTAACTCAAGCATTTGGTGCTGAACTACAGGTTGACCCAAGTCCTATGAATATACCTGAAATAATTCCCAGAGAGGTATCTGAGCCATCATCCTAAAACCAACTAAGTCAGGGCAGTGTATCTATCTATTTGGGGAGGGAGGTAGGGAATAAGCAATCTATTATTTAACTGCCAATTTCAGTGATGAGTATGCCTGAAGCACTTAGAAGGGAAACGCTTTTATTTGGACTTTGCACTACATGACTTAGTGGGCATGACATTTCTGCATGACATTTTTGCAAGGGCAACACCCACTGCATGTACCAAACTGTGTTTATAATAATATTCACAACAGCACATCTTCCCTGGAACATGTGGGATATAGCCTGGAACATTCTGGGCAGAAAATGAAGAGCCTGGAGGCTACAGTTCAACTCTCCTTGGCGGCCCAGGATTAATGTATAAGGATCCTTAAAAACTTGGAATACCCATATCCCTAAAAATACTACAAAGCAAAATTCCGTATTAGAAGGACTTAAGACTAAGTAGAGGTAGTATTTTAGTACTGGGTATTTGAAACCAAGGAAGTGAAGAGGTCCTGAGAGATCAACACAAAAGTCTCAAGAAACAACAAAAGCACAGAGTGGGGCTAAGTCAGCAAAGCATATGAGCAATGCTAACAGGGCTCTACATATCTGACCACTTTTGCTACATAAGCGAACTTCTCCTTCTTCTGTTTTACTGTAGATTATCTATGTAGCCCAAGTATTACGGCAGAAAGTGCAATAGGCAAAGGAGAACTGAGCTTCAATCAGCGTGATAGGTGGAGCCCGTGATGATTTTTTCCTTCAACACAGGTGTAAATGTATGTCTAGATGTGTCTGACCCAAAAGGGCTGTGCACTAACTATGCAGGGCAAGCCCACGCTCCTCTGTGTGGACATACATGACATTACACATAGTCACAGACTAGATAACTGACGGCATCGTGCAAAGTAGCTGAGTGCTACCTGAACTGCAATGAAGTCCATCTTTATAAATATTTAAACTACTCACAAAAGAAATCTGCTTGAATTACCAAAGATAACTTTAAAAAAAAATCCCGATAACAACAAGTTTAACTGGACATTCTTTACTTCTACCTCTGAAGTCAATCAAAAGGCAACTTTTTTTAAAGCTTTAACTATTTTTTTAAATTAATTTATTTATTTTTGGCTGTGATGGGTCTTTGTTTCTGCGCGAGGGCTTTCTCTAGTTGTGGCAAGTGGGGGCCACTCTTCATCACGGTACGCGGGCCCCTCACTATCGCGGCCTCTCTTGTTGCGGAGCACGCGCAGGCTCAGTAGTTGTGGCCCACGGGCCCAGTTGCTCCGCGGCATGTGGGATCCTCCCAGACCAGGGCCTGAACCAGTGTTCCCTGCATTAGCAGGCAGATTCTCAACCACTGCGCCACCAGGGAAGCCCCAAAAGGCAATTTTTGACGAAGTTTCCCAAACGAGATCAGAATTAATACTCCTATTTCTTAATTAATACTCCTATGAATAAGAAACAAGACAAAAATCCCCTTCAAGGAGACCACATTTCCTGCATTCTTAACAAGGAATCAATCTGGGAACCTCTAAAATTAAAAGGTTCAATTTAACAGTATGAGAGAACAATTTCACCTTACAATAAGACCCTGATGATCCAGAATTTTAACCAATTTGACTGGGGGGAAAAAAACAATGTACAGTGGGTAATACATCCATTAAAAGTTACTTAACCCTTCCTTGATCCCTCAGGGCTGTCAAAGTGAATGCCATTTCCTCTGTTGGGCTGTGACACCCTGCGACAATAAGGGCCACCAAATCTATTTTAACTAAATGGCCCCACACAGCTCCCTTTTTACAGTTCTCTCTCAACTTCACATTTCTTCCAGCTCCTAATGCCTAATAATTCTCTCACTATATCCACCTGAACAAGCCACCAACCTGTCAAGAGTCTGGAAAAAGATAACCAAACTTGTTAGACAATCTGCAAAGCAGGAGGCAACGGGCCCTTCGGGCGGGTGACGCAGGATGACTAGTGACCGCTCTGCAGCACCACCCCCACCCCATTTCTAGGCTCTGCTCTGAGCAGATAAGGCTGCCTAACAATCGAGGTGTTACTGTATATTAGAAATGCAAGACTGCAGCTGCTGAATTTCAAATACAGAATTAAATGCCTGACACACCTACTTCCATGTAGAGTCAAGGCCACCACCTCAACTATCAGCTGGCATGTGCTTGCAAAAGGAAATGCTTTTCCTTGAAAAGCAAAAGCAATACTTACCTTAAAACTTAACGTATTAAAGAAAACAAAGACTACATTCCAAAGTCCAATATAATTTTTAAGAATATTATCAATGCCATTATTCCCTGGCTCAAAGTACCAATCTATTAAAGCTGGGGTTTCAAAGTCATCTATAAAATTTTCCCCCATTGGGAATGACTTTAATGAGGGTCAACTCAACTCAGTAACATGAGAAAATATCGAATACTTAGGTTTTCTAACCACCCGGGGTTATTTAGGCATAAGGCAACAAACCCAACACAGTAAAAGGAAGGCTAGAGGCTGCTCTGTTGAGGTGCTTGGGGAGCAGGGCACTGAGGGAGGTGGAAACCGAGTACGGTGGGAGCAGGTATGAGTAGCTCCTTTGTACCCTTACGTCATCCCAAGCAGGAAGTGGAAGCTGACTAGACAAATTAGCAAGAGTACGGTGGGCACTGACCTCTTTTACTGGTAAGAAACATGAGCTTGGCCTACAATTATCAGGACAAGTGGAAGATGTCTCGCATCTTTCTGAATAGACGGGCAAAGGCCAAGAGCACTGAAATCACAGAAATGTAACCTTGTAGAACCTACTAGATCTACCGTGTTCCTCTTGTTAGTTTCTCCTAAGGAGCTTGTGCAGAACGTCTCCCATCGCTCCCTGACTTCGTCTGGAAGATCTTCAGAGGGAGAAAAGGAAAAAACCATTATCACTACAGTGACTTGCACACAGACAAATAAACAGGTAACTCAGAGAGGGCACCACCCACGTGGTTCCTCAAAGGCGAGCAGTCCCTGCAGGCTGAGCTCTCGGAGGGACGGGGTAGAGCCATGCTCAGTCTGAACCCCGAGAACTTTTCAGGAACCCCCCTCCCCACCACGGTCTATGCTTGATGCCAAGAGCCCTAAGCAGTTCTTTGAATTCAACAAGTTTTTTAAGACCTTTTGGTAAAAACTTAACCTGGAAAATATGTTTCCAATAAGTTCCCTGTAAAGATAACGGTCTTTAAGGTGGGGGTAAAAGCAGTTTTGCTCCATGGTCATGTGAGTTTAGGAAACACTGCAAATGTCAGCTCTTGCGCACTTTCTTGAGAAACTCTCACTGGCATCTGGCCAATGAATGTCCCACGGAACCCAGTTTGGCTTTTCAAATTGCTCAAAGATAATGTGTCCTAAATGTTTGTGTCATAGGCCAACATATGGATACATATGCAATAGTGAAAGCCACCTTCCACAGAAATTGTAAAGAAAAGGATACACAAATACTTTTCTGAGAAAATGAAACTATAGCTGTAATCTTGGAGGCCTCACTAAGGTTGCCATCTGACAATTCTGGTTTAAACACACATGTGTACACACTCTTACAAAGGCAAACAACTTCCATAAAACGAAGACTGATCTAAAAACAAAAAATCATACACATGGCCAATTCACGTGCACAGCAAAGGACATGAAGTGTGATGATCTGGCTAACATCTCACTCAAGAAGCAAAATTACAGGTGGGCTAGCCCCAATTTGTCCATCACTGGGCCACATCTATACTTTTCGTGCACATTCAATAGGTAACAGCTTCTTAAACACAAACATTCTTAAGAGAGAAATAGCAGGCTAGACTGAGAGATGATTTTCAGCAAGTTAATAACTGAACGAATGTTGTACCAGAGGTTGAAGATGTTTTTGCCTTCAGAGTAAGTCACAGGACTAGTAATCCCGCTGGTACCAAACCTGGAGCACACAGAGTTCTTGATGCTCTCATTTGGGAGGAGATGGACTCAAGGCCTTGGTGCCAGTGTAAAAGGCATCAATACGGTTTCTTCCAAGTAACCTTGGGCTGATTAAATTCAAATGCTAGTACAGAAAGAGTCCTTTAGGATACTGGCTAATATCATTCATTTTAGTAATAGAGAGATGGAAAAAATGCTGTTAAATGCTTTAATATGCCCATTAAAGGAACTCAATCCATAGGCTATGTAGGGGACTTCAGAAGAAAATAAAAAGCAAGAGTAACTGTAGCTAAAGTGGCTCAACTGTCAGCCTACGAGTACTTCAAGCTCAAAGGAATGGTTTAGTGAGCAACACCCTCAGAGAATGGAAGTGGGTAACTAGTTACTGGCTGAGCCTGCCAATACTTAATAAAAGGACTAAAGAACTAAGAACAGAGATACAGCAAAAATCTGTATTGTTCAAACACCTTCTCAAGAGCCTCATTCAAATCTCGAGATAATATAAGGAAACTCTTCAGACAGCTATTTAAAAAGCTATGAATATTTCCACTTTACCCCTAAATCCTTTCTCCAATCCAACAAAAATGTAATGAAAATTCCATAAACCCATTACCTTTGATGAGCTGCTGTACTAAGGCGCTGTTGGGGCCCTTATCAGTGCTGTGCACGATGCAGTTGGCTATCCTTGTCAGGTGTCCCATGTAGCCATGCCGTCTTCCTCCTTCGGCTCTACCAGGGGTAAAGGACAAATATTCAGACTCCTGAGAAGATGGAGTGATGAACAGCTTGGTAAGTACAGTGCAATCATTCTAAAAACTGAGGCACTAAAAACAAGAACGGGTGGAAGAAGAGGGTACGTAATATAACCAAGTTGGGGTAGTGGTGGGGGGTGGGAGTGTGGCAGCAACTGTCTACTCAAAAGACTACACTGTAGCCTCAGTCAACAGGACAAACTCTGTTCAAAGACTCAAACCAACCATCCTCAGTAACATAGTATCTTTAAAAACAAAACCCCAAACATTCACTGATGCCTAATGATTCTGTGACTTTCCTTCCCATCTTTCTGTGAAACTATTTTTCAGACTTTAAACAGATTGTAGGGAGAATATTTACGAAGTGTCAAGTCTTTAAATTCTATGAAACAAAAGACTTTTAACTGCAGACGGGAGGGAACAAACCGAAGAGATCTCTGCTTAAAGGGAGAATCTTGCAGAGTCACTGAGAAAAACCATACTGTGCTCGTAGGCTTGCCTGGAAAATGAAATATCTGCTAATAAGCTTAGCAGAGGGCCTGGGAATACCTAAGGGTCTGAAGGCATAAGGTTGACCTTAAGTGAACTGCTATGAGCCTCTTTCAGTTTCATAGTAAGATCCCACAACCCGAGTGTTCCTTCTGGGCAAATTCTTAGTCAGAAACTCTGGTATTCCCTCAAACCCTCACAAGGGAAAACAAACACCCATCTCCAAGTTTTTTGGCCCAATGCTCCGGATTTTCTTTAGGCTTCCTGTTCAAGGAAACCTTAAAAAGCTCTTTCAGGACTCCCCAAGAGGGGAGGAATATTATTAGCCAGGCCTTCAGAGGATGGAGCTTGCGGGGAGTAGAGCACATGGGACACCTCGGCACTGGCGAGACGAGGAAGCAGAGAGAGGAAGGGGGTCAAGGAAGGCTAAGATGGGGCAGACACATAACCAGAGATGCCACTCTGGCCACAGACAGCACCCCAAAGGAGCTCCATTTGGAGGAAAAGTATCTGAGGTCCCCCAAGACTGAACCCCTGCCACCCTCAACCTACACACCACCTTTCGCCACCCAGAGTCAAAGCAAAGCCCTATCGGTATTTAGTAAGCAATTTTTAAAAACCAAACCCCAGAAAACAAAGCAGGCAGCTCCCGTGAGTTACCTAGCTCTCCTGGGCACTGCAAGAGACATCTGAGCAGAGACACAGAGCAGGGAGATCCTGAGAAAGGTTAGACTATAAAGGGGCATGTGACAACTTTATGGGGTGATGGAAACGTTCTGTGTCTTGTCTGTGATGGCTGCATGACTGAATGCATTTCTCAGAATTCCTAGAAACGTATAGCCAGAAATATATACTTCAATAAACCTGACTTAAAAACAAACACAAGAAGTGTACCTTGAAAGTGTTTCCCAAACATACCCACCTGCTTCAGACTCTACGGGATGGCATGAAAGCTCCCATGGCATTAGAGAGAATTGCCTGTTTCAGACAAAACCGCTAGGGAAAAAAACCGTGTAACAAAGCTACTCGCATGCAGCAACTAATACTTCAAGTAATCTCGCCAATCAGCTAACGGAAATTTTCTAAGAAAGGAAATACTAAGCAATTTTACCCTCCCTCTAGTTCCATGCACAAAGTGACTCTTTTCTTCCATGAGAACCCGGGGTAACAAGGACGAAGGTGCTAACTAACGAGGACTTGACTTTGTAATTCTTTTCCTTCAACTCCCCATTATTCTCAGAAAAACAGCCATTCAGAAAGGACCAAGAAGTTGCAAAGGCAGCAACAGAGGTGGGGAGTACTCCCAACCCCTGTTCTTTCAAGACAGGTAGAAAGACAGGGGGATCTAAAAGTAAATTACTAGAAAAATATCTGTTACAATTAAATAATCTGGAAGTCCCAAGAGAACCATTTGTAACTGTAAAGTGGCCTGTACCATGTAATTATATTCATTGTTCCCTGTCTAGGGCAAGGGAGTATATTTTCTTCAAATTAAAAATCCAACTGAACTCCTATCAGAAAACAATTTACTTACTGTTTCTTCTCGTTCATTTCCCAGGCGTCAAGTATTCGTTCTATCAATTGACATTTTTGAAAGAGCTGAATAAAAAGGAACGTTCCAGTTTAACATTGACATAAATGTCAAAAGTGTCAAATTTTTAAAGTGAAACAGAACTCTAGTTAAACAGAAAAGTGATACCTATCACTTTATACATATAACCCAGCAAGCCTAATACAGCTGTGAATTACTGGCTAAATCAGATGCACCGTGAAAATAAATTTACTCAAGGGCCCCAGAACACTACAGGGGATTCAAGACAGGATCTATGCCTTTAGCAGTGAACCTACCAGGAAATAATATATTTCAAGTACTGCTACCAGTGAGCAGCTGACCTAAAGCAAAAGACAGGTTTTACTCTGAAATGGAATAAAGAAAATTATGCCTCGGCAAACATTTAACTCACAATCCACAGCAGTACTTGTACATTTTAAACGCGAGCAACACTTACTTCTCTATGAGCTAACATTACTGCATTCGTATTAAAAATAGGTGTGGCTTGCCAAACTTCCGCCTGCCAATGACCAGTGCTGTGGGCTGCATTATCGAATGTGCACAGCCAGTCTTATTCAAATGTCATTTGTCTTCCCCATCTACTTGGTTACTCCAGGTTAGCCTTTCCCATCTCCAAGGTTTGGGCGTAACCCAGTGTGAGCTAGAGAGTGTCACACAGTCACAGAACTTCAGAGCAAGAAGAAACCTGAGGACTGACTCAGTAAAATCACCTCACATTTAACAAAAGAAAACAGACGCCCAGAAGAGGCTTCCTTGACACTGCGTAAGAACTCACTTCTCCCAACTTTCAGTCATATATTCAGCACAAGAAATTAAAACTCTGGCAAGCCAAATAATTGGTTCAAATGTTTTCTGCAGTATTTAAATTTGCATTGTTCTTTTAATCTCCAAAAGATTTCTAAATCTTCAAATGTATTAATTTTCCCAAATAAGCAAGCCACTTAGCCTTTTTTTTTTTTTTTTAAAGTTCATCTAATGGTTAATTGTCCAGGATATGATTTACAGAATCACTGGTTAAAAGTACCATTACAAGTTAAATATTCTGACTCTGAAATCTAACCTCCTACCCTTAAACCTCAATTCACTTCACACCTTAAGCAGAAAAATGCTATAACCAGGAGTGGTAGAAAAAAAGACACCAAGTAAGCTTACATGTTTCAATAACAAATTGTCACCAGTGGAGTCTTGATCAGTAATTGTGCTATTTTCTGTGTTTTCAAAAGGACTTGCAAGAATCAGTGCAATACAGATTTCCACTTGTGTGTGTAAAAAGTTATTCCATGTGTATTTGAAGAACATGTCCTACAAAAAAAGAAAAATAATGCTTTCTTTTATTCAGTCTCCTCCATGTTTAAGCCGCTACCGCAACACATTCACCAAATAATGAATTAATAAAGTGAAAATGATGTGTTCCTAGTACAACAGGACAAATTAAAAGGAACACATTTTATTTTTAATGCAGTTTAAAATGCCTTCATAGACTAAATAGCATGGTATTTGCTCATTCAACATGTCAGAATTTGCATGGAAACTAACAGAGACCAACAATAAACACATAAAGAGAAGACAATAATAAATTTCTCAGACAGAAAGTGTCTTTGTTTTCAACGTGACTAATACAGATATTAAGTTCAGTTAATTTCCAATAATTTCCAAAGAAATTTATGAGAATTTCATTTTGCCTCAACAAATGTTTACTGATGACTTCTGAGCACACAGTGCTAGGTGCAACCTGGGAGACAGACAAAAATACGTTCTCCAATTTTGAGGTGCTCACACCTTAAAAAAAATAACCACTCGGGCATTCAAAGCTCATAGAACTATCAGTGGATAGAGCAAAACAAGAAAGGTATGAGAGGCGGTGACGTGCGGAACTCCTGGAGGTGCAAGGGTTTTCCAGATTACCTGAAAAGGTAACAGTAGCACAAAAAAAAGAAAGACGATTCCAAAAAGCACAAATGCATAAAGTATGTATTCAGGATATCGCTGAGTCTTGGTTATCTAATCTCAAAATGAAAAGATAATGATTAATGATCCACTTAGGAGTTTTATCAAATTAATCACTCAAAAGAAGCTCTAAGATTAACAACAGAATGAATTAACAATAGCTGTAAACTTACTACTAGGAAGATGAAAGACTAGTGATTGATGACTTCAGTGAGACTCCCAGAGACAGGATTAGGAAGTTATATCCCTGTCAGAGGGTAGGGCAAAAACTATGCCCCCAGAGGGCAAGGGTTATGCTGGCAAGGAAACTGTAATCCTGTAGCGTCTCATCTTTCTCCAAACGTTCCTGCTCTCCATGCCTTCTACTGCTATGTCATTTAACACAAAGCTGAAATACAACTAAAAGTATCTATCTCAGTGACACTAGGAAGAACAAAGGGAATGGCTGATAGAGCATGCATGGGTTTGAAACGGGATGTGAATTCAAATCCTGGCTGCACCACTTACTAGCCATGGAATGTATTCCCTATCTGGGCATGATCTGAAAAATCATGCCCAGGATCACATGAGACATGTATATGAAGTTTTATACCCAGGATCACATGAGAAATGTATATGAAGTGTACATTTAATACCTTCCATGTAAAGAGCAAACACCCAGACTCTCCTTTGAAACACACGCCAAGCTCCTCCCGGTGTACAGTGTGGGTCCTGGGAACCCATCTGTGCTGTGTGGAGGCAGGACAGAGCAAGCAGAGGCCCCGGGGCCAGGCCCATGGATCCCAAACACAGGCCTTGGAGCTGGGGAACTCAGGGGTCAGGGAAGTCCAGGTAATTCCTGGGCTCCTACTTTTCCCTTCCATTCCCTTCTGCTTCCACTGAAGCAGACTAAATCCAAAGACAGTCTCAGACTAAATCGAAAGACAGTCTTTTAGACTCAAATCAAGACAGTGTCAGAGACCTTGTACACTATCTCAGTGGAAAGAAGATCAAAGCGCGTCCCTTGGCTAATTATGAAGAGAAAATAATGCTGTAAGCCCCAGTCGTTTATTGCTAATACAATCCCCTGAAGACGGTGATTACACTCACTCTATCCTCCATACGAGACTGAGCTTCTTGAAGGAAACGTCTGTCTTAACCATCTTCCAAATTCTCTAATACAGTTCTTTACGCACGGCAACAATAAATTACTACTGAAAAATTGAAAGCATTCAAAATTGATGATAACCTCAAGGGGAAAACTATATAAAAGACTGTTTACACTCGGACCAAGGAAAGTCATTGACACATATTGTAAATTTATGAGGTTCTACCTTCAGTTATGTATCCATAAAGTATCAAGGGCAAATTAAGACATCTTTCAGGGGATATCATACCAATATGACCCCAATGCTATTCAGCTCCATAAGGTCCCCGTTGATACTGCTGGTATTTGTTTGGAGGAGGCTGGATATCAACCTAATCACATTCAACCGGGTGTTCCCCACGGGAGGGTCCAGCACGCCCCACGTAGTCTTCATCACACTTTTCTGAGGAAGAAAAAGCTTTCCAATTAAATTCAGTTCAGTAAACAAATAAAGGGTGTAGGAGTATGTACTAAGATACAACGCTAGGTAAACTAAGCCTGCAAACAACTTGGCCTAAATTCCATACGTGAAGGAAAATCCAAAACTCCTACTGATGATATCTTTAAGATATGATGAAATGAACACGAGGGAAAACAATGAAGCCATTTCCCTGGACCACAAACTTTATAAGAAACCAAGTATCCCCTTGCCTTCAACACTGCAAACACCACGGGAATAAAGCAGAAAGCTACTGAAGTCCACGAAAAAAAAAGTGCAATATTCTAATCCTGACCAGAAACCTAAGAAACTAAGAAAAGCTACAAGTGTTTAGATCACAGTTCTCAATCTCTGCCAAATCTGTGATAAAAGTGCAAACTCAGAAGTTGCCTCTGGATCACAACCTTGAAACAGGATCAACCTCAAACCTGTTCTTGTCCATAAAAGGGAGTTTCTATTCTCTGAAATCACAAAAGACATACACAGAACATTCCAGAACTTCAGAAGTTTGGCAGGAAAGGATGATGACCTGTGACAACGAAGCGATGAGGATGCCCTCCTCCATGTCCTCGTCCACAGGGGATCCCTGCCCCCCTGCCTGCGCTCCTCCAGGCCCAGTGGAACTGGACGGCCCCCAGTTTCACTCCCTGTGGCACAGCCCTAATAAACACGGACCTACTCACACACCACATCACGTAGTAAAAGCAGCCACAAGCTGAACTCACTCCTAGCCGTGAACAAGAGGAAGGGCAAACCAAACACTGTCTTACTTCCGAGTTAGGCCCAAGAAGAGTACCAGTGTGAGAATCCATATTAGACGCTGCCTTTTTTGTCCACCTAGAAAGAAGACTGTGGCACCTGAGACACAGGTCAGGGGAACCTGGCCACACCCTCTCCTCTCACAGGACCTCCTTCCCCTCCAACTTCCACTTCTCTTCTCCTGAGCAAACCCTTCTCTCCTTTTACTCTCCCTGCTCTTCTTCCCAGGTCTGGCACAAAGGACGCCACTGTTAAACACCAGCACCCCCTCCACAAGATGGTTAAGTAAACAGAAAACATCTGCTTTAGAAGGGAGACACTAGTCTACTAATTTCCCAGTAACTCACACCGGAGATGTCACAGAGACACACTTTCCAGAGCCTGGGATGCTGGATGCAATGATGCGGGGCAGAAGGAAGAACCAAAGTGTAAGAACTAGTGCAGGCGGTAGAACTCTCATGGAATTGCCTTCCACCCTAGAGATGCCAAAAGGAAGAGCCTCGTCCCCTAAAGCTCAACCTGCGCCAACCCGAGGGGGTGGGGTGTCACGGAAGGACACCACTATGGACCCTGGACACCCCTCTTTTGGAGGTCTTCGCTGTCCGCTGTCTGTGCTTTCAGTGGCTGCCTGATTAACAGTCATTTCTGGATCAGCACACGGATGCTCCCGACAGAAAAACTAACACTCCAAGTCACATTCAACCAACTGCTTCCTAAATGAGATGCCTGTCCCTCAGGCGGTCACACTGCTCCAACTCTGAATAAGAGCTCAGTTTCAAAGATTAGGCCCTAAAAGATTAACTTCTACCTCAAAGATGTGAAAATAACATGCTGTGAGAAGAAAACTATTTTACTGGCATATAAGTATGCAGAATATATAGAAAGAACAAAAAGCTGAGTTTCCGAAGCAGGTAAGTAACTTACTTAATTTGAATGCTATTCTATTCATCAATTTAGATGCTATATATCGATAAAAGCCAATTAAAAACTAGCTCAAGAGCAATGAAAACAACTGCCCGTGTACCTTCTAATATGCTTTGCACATGGGAGTCACAGCCAGTCCTTTAACTTACAAGCTTCATCTACTTTCTAACAAAAGCTGAAATCTAGCTACTGGCTGGTCAACGGGCTTCAGAGAGCTGCCTTACCTTGGGTGGCTCAAGCAGGAGTTCATGAAAAGATCCAAGTCTTCCTCGGATGGCTTCCAGAACGCTCTTGTTGACCGAACAAGCTGAATGACTCATGCCTGGTGGGCAGATCTCTATATGGCCTTCAAATCTTGAAACAAAGCAAGTTAATTTTATTTATTACTTCAGAACAAATCATTCAAGGTGCTCCGTATCAGCGTATAGGGATATACATAATAGCTATAGAATATATAGTGATTATATTGAAATTTCTGGAAGGACAGGAAGAGGGTGTAATAAAACCTTGATGGGGATCAGCCAACATGGTCTGAAATCCAAAGATGTACAGTGTCGGGTGAGAAATTATATGCCATTTCTTCCCATTCTCTCCTAAACCTTCTAACGCCTTATACCTACTGTACTAATATCAGGTCTCTAACCAGAAAATCTGGAAAGCAGCAGGAGATCCCTGAGTTACAGGACAAATCATACTGCCTGCCGCTGGAAGACTGTTAATAATAAACAAGCCTGTATTTGTTCTATACAGTTTCTCTTGACTAATCAATCAACACTGCTTCCTATTTAAAAGGCTTAACTTACTCTTCTGTATAAAGCTTCATCTATACTCATTATAAACCACTCCTTTTAGAAAAACAATTACGAGTGGAATGAGACTCCCAAATCCCAATCAGTTTTAGAAAGCACAGGGGTTCTCAAAGTTGGGGGACATAAGGAGGGAGGGGTCTAAAAATGTGGGTGTACAGTTCACATTAAAAGATAAACCTGAGAGTGGTGTATCAGTGCAAACTAGCGCTTAACAATGTAGCTGCTGGAGCACGACTGCCTGAGCCTGAACCCTGGACCTTCACTCACCAGTAATTCGTTCTAATATGGAAAACGGGAACCACTCAAGAATGTCCCTCCCAGGACTGCTGTGGGGACCACGCTAATGTAGACAGAGGACTGAGAGCGCTGCCTGACACAGCTAACACCTAGAGAGTGGTTATTAGGGCTGTTACTTGAAAATATTTCACACGGGCAAGTGATTTCTAAGAGCTATACGGAACACCCTTCAGAAACTCAATTCCTAGAAAGGGGGAGTAGGTAGAGGAAAGGCCTTTTGCTTTGATTATAGTGCTTTTTAATGTGTAGGGTTTTAATAATTTATGTGGCCAAATATAGCATTCTTCACTACAGTCTCTGTCCAGGAAGCCATACTTAAAGTTCTTTACAATGCCATAATCCTATGAATATTTGCATACTTTTCCTCTTGTGTTTTTCATTTAACTCATCTGGAATTTATTTTTATGCAAAACAGGTATAGACATGATATTTTTTTTCCCCAAGTGGCGAGTCACTTCTAAGCCACATTTATAGAACGATCTGCTTTTCCCCACTTATGTGAAAAAAAAAAACCCATACAAAAACATATACTAAAATTCCTTAATCATTCATATAAATTTTATTTGTTCATCTAATAAATACTTAGTGAGCATCAATTTATGTACCTGCCTTGACTCAGGTACTACAATCAATATCCATGGTGTTTCTCACATTTTAATCCTTTCAAATATATGTAAAAATCTGCCAAATCCAAAACAAAACCTGTGCTGATATTCCAAAGAGATACATTAAATCTGGAACATAGACTTGGAAAGGCACAAGAAGTGATGGCTGTTTGGGGCATCGGGAGTATGTTCCTTTTCTCTCTGAACAGAGATCTACAGTCCAGATGCACGGTATCTGCATCCACTCAGCTCCCTCAACCACTCACCAGTTAAGGAAACTTTGCTTATTTACTGTTTTGGATGATTATGAATAAAGGGCACAAATATTCACTTACAAGTTTCTGTGTGACACAATTTTCACTTTTCTTGGGTAAATATCTAAGAGAGTGCTGGATAATACATTGTAATAAAGGTCTGTTTATTAAAAAACTGCCAGGTGTTTTTAGAAGATGGCCACATGACTTAACAGCCCAGTTGGAGAGTGTGAGGCTTCACTGTCACCAGCGCTGGCTCTGTTTGTTTGGTTCAGTTGTTTAGTGGGCTGAATGGTCCCCCCACAAAACGTATGTCCACATCCTAGTCCCCAGTCTGGATGCCTTTTCTTTCTTTCCTGCCTCACTGCACTGCTAGGGCCTGTAGCATGAGGCTGAATAGAACTGGTGATGAGAAATATTCTTGCCATGGTCCTTGATTTTAGGGGCTATGATTTCAGTCTTTGCCCATTAAGAATGATGGTAGCTATGGGTTTTCTTTTTGTTTTTCAGTTTCCAAGTTCCCTTCTATTCCTAATTTGCAGAGAGGTTTTATCATACAAGAATGTAATGAAATGATCACATGGTTTTACTTCTTTAGTCTGTTGGTATCAGTTATACTGGCTGCTATTTATTAAAGCTATTTTTATAAAGCAGTTTTAAGTTCACAGCAAAATGGAGGGGAAGGTACAGAGACTCCCATATACCCTCTGCCCCTACAAATGCACAGCCTCCCCATTATCAACATCCTCTACCAGAGTATGTCTATTACAATCCATGAACCTACACTGACACATCATCACCACCCAGAACTCAGCTTACATTATAGTTCACTCTAATGGGTTTGGACAAATAATGACATGTATTGGTCACTATGATATTATACAGAGCATTTTCACTGCCCTAAAGGTCCTCTGTGCTCCACCTCTTCATTTCACTCCCCTTGTCAACCCCTGGCAACCGTGATCTTTTTACTGTCTCCACAGTAAAATATGACATTTTCCAGAATGTATGTACCCTTTTCAGACTGGCTTCTTTCACTTCTTTCTTCTTTTTTTTTTGCGGTACGCGGGCCTCTCACTGTTGTGGCCTCTGCCGTTGCAGAGCACAGGCTCCGGACGTGCAGGCTCAGCGGCCATGGCTCACGGGCCTAGCTGCTCCTCGGCATGTGGGATCTTCCCGGACCGGGGCACGAACCCGTGTACCCTGCATCGGCAGGCAGACTCTCAACCACTGCGCCACCAGGGAAGCCCACGCTTCTTTATTTTTCATTTGCATTTAAGGTCCCTCCATGTCTTTTCATGGCATGAGGGCACATTCTTTTTAGTGCTGAATAATATTCCACTGTCTGGATGAACTACGGTTTATTTATCCACTCACCTACTGAGGACCTCTTGGCTGCTTCCAAGCTTTGGCAAGTGTGGATAAAGCTGCTAAACAACTGTGTGCAGGTTTTTGTGTGAACCTAAGTTTTCAACTCCTTTGGGTAAATATGAAGGAGCACAACCGCTGGACTGTATGGTAAAAGTATGTTTAGTTTTCTAAGAAACTACCAGACTGTCTTCCAAAGTGGCTGCACCATTTTGCGTTTCCACCGGCAACAAATGAGATTTCCTGCTGCCCCGCAGTCCTGCCAGCACTTGGTGTCGTCAATTAGGTCCACTGAATTGCTAGTACTGTATGCTTCTTACTGATTTCTGTCTAAACGTTATGTCCATTTCTGTTAGAACTTCTGTTTTAGATTTACAGAAAAATTGCAAAAATAGTACAGAGTTCCCATGTGACCCAAACCCAGTTTCCCCTGTTATTATCTTACATTTGTCAAAATTAATGAACCAGTACTCACACGTAAAATCCATACTTTATTCAGATTTCCTTGGTTTTTGCCTACAGTTGTTTCTCTGACCCAGAATCCACCCAGGACACCACACTATATTTAGCTTTCAAGTGTCCTTAGCCTCCTCTTGGCTGTGATAGTTACTCAGACTTTCCTGGTCAGGTACTTTGCAGAATGTCCCTCATTTGGGGTCTGGTCTTAACATTTTTCTCATGATCATGGGTCTTTGAGAGGAAGAACACACAAGTAAAATGACATTTTCATTACATACTATCAACACAACAGTGCTGGCTGCTGACTTTGATTATATGGCTGAGGAAGTGCTGGTCAGATTTCTCTGTCAAACTTGACAGAGTGACTGTCAAGTTCTCATTTTATTCTCTCTTCATACTGCACTTTTTAGAAGGAAGTCATGAGGTGCAGTCTACACGTCAAGAACGGAGAGTCTTTTTCTTCCTCCTTGAGAAGGGATTATGAACTATTTGGAATTCTCCCACAGGGGAGGTTTGTCTCTTCGCCCCCTTTTACTTATTCAGTCACTTATTTATATCAGTATGAACTCATGTGTATTTTATACTTTGTGTTATACAACAATACTGCCTTATTTTATTGTGCAAGTGCTCCCAGCTCTGGCCACTGGGAGCTCTTTTAGTTGGCCCGTGTCCCTCTCACACACCCGGTGCTGTGGGTTTTCTCTCTGAGCGCGTCCTTACTGTCTGCACTACAGGATGCTCCACACTCACTTTGTATACTTCTTAGCCCAGTTGCAGAACCAGCCATTTCTCCATGAAGCCCTGGTTCCTTTACTGGAGGATGGTATGAGAAACTGAGATCTGGGCACACGGTTACTTGTTCCTGGTGATGCTTCATGACTTCTAGGCCTCACAAAGCAACTGTCTTCCTGGTTTAACTTCATATTTCAGTATAGGTAACTTCTAATGTCCTACACTAATCCTTTCCTCAACTATGTCAAACTTTACAAATGAGCCCAAAGGCATTCTTCAATTTCTGTTGTAGTTTTCATTCCTAGCATTTGTGTATGATCTTCCATATCTGTTAAAATTCTCCATCTGTTCACATCTTGCTCACTTTTCCCACAAGCCTTTAACACATTAATCATAGTTATCTTAAATTCCCTACCAGATTGTTCCAACATTTTTGAATCTAGTTCTCCTGACTGCTTTTTCTCTTGAGAGTTCAGTTTGTTTGGGTTCTTTTTATCTTGCTTGTCTTGCAATTTTTTAGCTGTGACGTGGACATGTTGTGTAAGACAACAGAGACTGATATAACTAGTATTTGCAATGGATACACCCCTTTTTTTCTAGGTCTTTAGTGTGGGGTTTCTGGATCAATTTATAGTCAGCAGCTGATTTAGGTTCGGGTTTTGTTGTTCCTATGACTGACTGACTTCTCTCGGCACACTGAAGACTTTAAATGTGTCTCGAGTCACTTTGTATTTATAGTTAGGGATGGATTGCCAAGGTTTTCTCAACTTCTGCTCTGCCCCTGGCTGAGGTTCTTCCCTTCAAGCCTGGTCCTGTGCTGATGGCCTCCTTCCACACTGCAGCCTTCCCTCCGCCAGCATGCTGCTCTCGTCACTCGATGTGTGGTGGCCTGGTGGGGAGGACTGCTCTGTTGTTCTGGTTCAGCTTCAGTCTCAGGCAGCGGAAGTGCTCATGGACCTCAGGGGTGGGGCCCTCTCGGTGATCCTGCCCTTACCCCAGTGGTAGAGGCTCTCTAATAGCCTGGGCCCTGAAAAGTGTGCCTGCTTGTCCCGTGGGGCAGAGGCTTTTTCCTGGTCCCTTCCTCCTCATCGTGTCTTTAGGGTTTACAGGGTTTGCCGCCCTTTCGCCAGTGGATTCAGGGTTTTATTCAGCAGGGGCGGGAATGGAGAAGGACCCTGCTGCTGCATTCGCAGCCCTACTCTGCAAGGGAGGCCTTCTCAGGGCTCTTACCTGGCCTCCAGTACTTCCTGAGCAGGGGTCGCAGGTATGTGCGAAGTCCTGAGTCTGTAGTTCTCAGGGTGTTCTTGCTCTCCCTGCACCTGAGGCGCTTTGGGCGTTACATAACCTACTATTATTCTACGTTTATAAAAAACACATTGGAACTATCATTTTTTTAAGATGAAAAATGAAACTGTATATCAAAGTACCTCAGTTCCTCAGTAGAAGATAAGAATTATATTGTGCACTAACTTACCCCTTCTCTCCTTTCTTTCCCGGACCGGGGCACGAACCCGTGTCCCCTGCACTGGCAGGCGGACTCTCAACCACTGCGCCACCAGGGAAGCCCCTTTTTTTCAACATTTGACTTATTCAATTATTCATTCTTAACATAACTTTCATAGTCATATGAATTGTCACATTCCTATCTGTTTCATTTATCATTACTTTCACCAACGTATTTCCTTAAGTTCTTTATTCTACCTTATTTTTCTGCTTGGCTTCGGTAAAGTCCATCTTCGAGTAATTTGGCCCAGGTACAGGACACGGAGGGGACACTGAGGTCCATACGCTTGAAAATGCCCCCTGCCCTCACAAAGCAACAAAAGTGCTTCAGGGTCACAATCCTACCCCTCTGTTTTTCAGTGTTTAGTTAGCTTTACAAATGACATGTCTGGCAACGTGATTTGCTTTGTAGTTAACCCACTTTTTTCTTGTCCAAATATTTTTAAGATTTATCCTTTATCCTAGGGATTCAGAAATCACATAAGGATAAGGCTAAGATCTCAGTTGTTCACCACCCCTCCAACCTGCCTCTCTTTAAAGTTAATCGTGCTTAGTATCTGATAAACCTTTGTGGTCTGAGGATAAGTCCCTTCTGATCAGAAATTCCTTCCTGTCATTTATTACTGTATCGTCTCCATTCTCAAGCCAGAGTTGTCAATATAAATCTCACAGCACCAGCTCATGTGCTTTTAAATCATTTTGAGAGATGATGCAACTGCCTTGAAGCAAGAGTAGCAAGATAACAGTCCTGTATCACCTGATTAATACCTTAAGTTATTGGTTATGTTATTTAAAATATGATTTACCAGGGAAGACACAGGCAAAGTCAAAACAGCAGATACAACTCCAAATGACAACACAGCTGAAGCAGTGCTGCCACACTGCCCTTCCATTATCACTAACCAGAGATTAAAGAACCAGAAATAGAGATGAAGACTTTGGGAAGCAGGGATTGGTAACGCTGTGTTTACTATTTTGCTGGAAACCAAAATGACATCACTGAAACTAAATCCAGAAACGCTGGATGGCTAAATTTTCATATGCTGACAGCAGACCGTGTCTCTCCTCCTCCTCATGCCCTCTGCTTTACTGGATGGATCCAATAGTGGGTAAGAAAATACAAATTCTAATCTCTAAACCACATGTTCCCGGAATGCAAACACATACATACCTCTTCAAATTCTCATTCTCCAGAGAACAATTAGGAAAATTCTGACAATTAATAAGTAAATTAGCTTTGGGTATAAACTGTAAGGAATAATATGACAAATATTAATTGGCTTGTCCAGAGGCACATACACAGGGAAAACAGACTATATTTCTGATTCTGAAACACATAGCAGAAAGTTTTCCTTAAGGCCTCAAGCCACCTGCCTGTCCATTTTTAAACAGCCTAATGAACTGCAGTTGCCTCATATGTGAAATCCCGAAAAAAAACAACCCAAAGCCTCAAGTTAGCAAGCACTGGACAGAATCACAAGATGGAAAGAGCCCTGAACTGCCACTTGGAGGAGGGCTGAATACCAATCAGGAACACCTATTTTCAATTTTCATAAGCAAGAAATAAGCTTCTCTTGTGTTTGAGCCATTCTGTATGGGTTTGACTTATTATAGAAGCATTTTGGTAACTACTACAATACCCCAAATGACTAGAATCCACATATTGCCAATAGTGTTTACCAAACCATATAGTTCAACTACATCTATGCATCCCATTCATATAAAACTATTTATATAGTAGAAAAAGATTCAACACCTGAAATTCACGGGCATGATACTGTAGCGATCAACCAATAACTTAACTCTTAGCTTTTAAAAATTCTAAAAGCAAAACCAAATGGCTCGTTTCGCAAGACAGAAGGAAAACTTACGTTGGTCGCCGTGTCTCAAGTAAAGCCAACAATATCTGGACTGCGCTGACTATGGCCGATTCATTCTTCTCCTTGTGGAAAATATTTGATAGGAGCTGCTCTATAATTTCTTGCCTAGGAAAACAAATCAATAGTCAAGCGCTAATTGTAACACTGTTCAACACAAACAACTTTGGAGAAAAAGATCATGGTATCAGTAAGACAAGTATTATAAAAGAGTTCAACCTCACTTGTGCATATTTATTAACAATATTCTATTTTTCATCTATCCATAAGGAAGGCCAGTGGTCTTGCTTGTCGTAAGTGTAACACACACACACACACACACACACACACACACACACACACACACACACACACACACACACACTCCTATCCCCTCCCCTCGGCTGGAAGTCACCTCCTACTCAGATGGTGGGGACGGGAGGTAAAAAGACTCAGAACCCTACAGCCCCACAGAAGGAGGGGAGTTTTTACAAAAGAAACCATAAATGTTTTCCCACAAAGGCATTCATGTATAATTAACAAAGATCTAAAACAGACACAAGATAACATCACTTGCTGCACTGTACTCTACAACTAAAATTTGATAAACCAATATAATGTGGTAGCAGTGAAATGGGTGTGACTGAACTACTGCCCCAAAAGTATTCTCCACAGGCTCTTCCCATGACACCCCCCCATACATGTATACAAGGTCACAATTAATGTAGAATATAAGGGTAACCTGTTAGGTGAATAAATTTATACGGATGTTCTCAAGGAAAACCTGTTTCTTAGGATCTCAGTAATTTTTAGAACCCATGGGGATTAAGAAATGGAATCACCTTAGCAATGAGAGGGACAGCTGGTTGCCCCTGGTGCCCACCTGGCAGACACACCAGCCACCCCAAGGTACAGCTGTGCTCACTGGCTACTAACACCAGTTCGTTTGCCAGGTTAGGGCAGCAAGTAGGAGAGAATCTCTTCCTCTTTGGGGGAAGCAAATGAAACTGGTATCTAACCTAACTTCAGAGGATTGCCCTTGCAGGAAGTAGCTTTCAAGCACTCTCAGACCAGCACTAGAATTGCCTGTGAGATCTCTACCCAAAACAGTACTGTAAAAGTCACTCAACACACAGCAGTCTACAGAATAACTATTAAACTTGGAACTGAGCTCTGGAAAACAGACTGCTTTTTTGTAAATACGTATATTCTTCGAATAGCAGCCTCACCCCAGGTAGAGGGGTACCGACAGGGCATCCAACTGTAGATGTCCACCTTCTCATTCAGCTGTAGTGTCTAACTTTCCAGAGAGCAATATCACCTTTCATAAACCCTGACGCCTGAAGGGAGTGGCTAACAAAGAGGCTCTCACTCTTTCATGGCTGCATCAAATTGGAAGTCTACCATACCCATGGAGATCATTCTACTAATGGACAAAAATGAGATAATAACCAGCAAAAATGTGACGGTCAAGATGCAACACAGCAGCTGGGCCATATTCTGAGTCTTATCTAAACATACAAATATCACCAAATACAGAAGAAATCATAAACTGAAGAACTGAGCTTATTAAACAGGATGAAAAGAATGCCTTCATATTCTTTAAATAATAAGGCATTTATTTACAAGTGAGAAGACATATTCACTTCCACTTTTTAAAAAATGGAGGCCTTGGGCTTCCCTGGTGGCGCAGTGGTTGAGTCCGCCTGCTGATGCAGGGGACACGGGTTCGTGCCCCAGTCCGGGAAGATCCCACATGCCGCGGAGCGGCTGGGCCCGTGAGCCATGGCCACTGAGCCTGCGCATCCAGAGCCTGTGCTCTGCAATGGGAGAGGCCACAACAGAGAGAGGCCCGCGTACCGCAAAAAAAAAAAAAAAAAAAAAAAAAAAAAAAAAAAAAAATGGAGTTCTTGGACGAACACCAATAAAGTTCATTACGTGAGCTGTGTTACGCACGAGGCCAGCCAGGTTCTTCACCCAGGCCTTTGAGACCATGGCGCACTCCTGTATTGTTTTGTTTTTGTGTGGGCAGCTAAAGACTCACATCTATAAAAATAACGGGCTCAACCCAGCCCAGAGGCCGACCCACTGTAAGCTCATTAGTATCAAGAATTAGGAGCTGCCTGGTCCAACCCTCCCCAACACAACTAGTTTTAAAGGAATTCTGGCACTTCAGATTTTCCCACAACAGAGCTACTAAATTAAATACATTCAATTTAAGCTCAGATTGTTTCCCAAGCTAACACTCACTACCTAACACCTCGGTCCACTTTCTTAGAGACCTTTTGGTATCCCTACCCACCTTGACCATTCTCTTTAACCTTAGCTCATTTCCAATTTTTCCTGCAGTGCTAACCTACACTTCCAGTTACACGTACGGTGTTTATGTGGGGGTTAGCCTGTATACCGAGTAGACTGGCTTATAACACAACACTGCTATATATTATTAGGTGATAATCAAATACATACAGATATATAATAATATATAAAATATACACAGATACTGTTAAAATTAATAAAAGCTTACTAAGCTCACAGGAGCCTTTGGTCACTGTGTACTTCCTCAATCAACAGATACTAAAGAGAACGACTATCATGTGGGAACACGTCTGATATTAAAAAGGGTTGGTTCTCATCCTCAAGAAGAGTGTGGGAAGCACTGTTAGAGAGTTAAGTCTCCCCGATGCTCAGTGCAGTGAAGGTTTAACTCAGTGACACCACGGAGCCCCTGACTCTTTAGGACCATGTAGTTGAAGAAATTTACTCTAACATTTAATGATGTTGATTACGTACCTATCTGCATCAAAGTACAGTTGCCTGATCCAGGACTAAAAACACAGTCTGAAATATATTAGCTAGTGCATACAGAGGCTCCAACAGCTAGATCCCACGTTTAGTCCAAATAGAGTTGAGTGAAGAGAGGGCTGGCACAGAAGAACTCAGTGATTACTACTGACCAGCCTGACACTCAGGGTGAACCTGCACAGTCCAGGAAGGGAGCCAAGCACCACCTGCGGCCACAGAACACTCAAAAGGTAACTAGTCTGAATTGGCCTGTCCTAAGTGTAAAATACACACTGGATTTCCAAAACTTTGCACAAAGTAAAGAATGTAGACTCACTCATTAATAATTTTTTAAATGAACATATGTTGAAATATTATTTTGTACCTATTAAATAAAACATAAAAATTAATTTCACCTATTTTTTTTACTTTAATATGGCTACTAGAAATGTTTAAATTACGTGACTTTTATTATATTTCTTCTATTGGACAGCACAGTCATGGACCATATGAAATTACTGTTAGTCAACATTTTTTAACCTTGAGTAAGTTAATTTTTACATGGTTCAACCTATTTCTACTACAATTATCGGTATTGTATATTATAAAAGGAGTACATATGCCATAATGCCCAAGAATAACTGAAATGGGGCAAGTAAGATGACATTTTACTCAGAAGCTGATAATCTCTTATCTTGCTACTTGAGAGAACTAGTCAATTCCTTCCTATTCTACAATGCACACTGGGAAAATACAACTTTATTTCTCAGAATACAGAGTTTAAAACAAGGTATCTTGTCTCTAATTTGTTCCTTGTTTGTCTCACACTTGCCAAGTAAACAATACACACAAATGTCTTATTTTAATAAAAGGGTCTTCCCGGCCAAAAGATGCAAACGAGTCTCAATATACAGGAGGACTAAAAAATTCCAACAAAGTCATTAAGAAGAACAACAGTAGCAGTAAACTGATGCGAGACTGCCATTCGTACATAACAACGCTAACTGTATGCACTCTTGCCAGTTACTCATCCAAAGTGGGGAGATGCCTTATTTTTGTCTACTAAAATAACTTTCAGTTGTAGGGATGCAGGCAAATGTATGCCCATACTTGATGGTAAATACTCTTCCTGAAAATGTATGAATCTACAAATACCAGTATGGTAGGTTGGCCATTCGCAGATTTCAAAATACTACACCACCCCCAAGCTGTCTTCTACATGAGATGTCTGTTCATTAGGAATTATCTAAAAATAAGGGCAGAAGCAATATAAAGAAACAAAACATACAAGATGTATAACCCTTCGAATCAGGTCTGGTCAGGTTACCCCAGTCAGCTGCCAAGGTATAGTGGATCCTAAGAAGAACTTCTGATTAAAAATCACTGACTGGGAATTCCCTGGTGGTCCAGTGGTTAGGACTTGGCCCTTTCACTGCTGATGGTGCGGGTTTGATCTCTGGTCGGGGAACTAAGATTCCGCAAGCCACGCGGCAAGGCCAAAAAATTAAAAAAAGAAAAAATCACTGACGAAGATGGGTCAAATTACTTCATACACCTATCTTCCCCAAAGACCACGGAGGCAGTGACTGCAGTTATGTCACTGCCCCATCCATGATAGTTTTATAGAATTTAGTTTACAATTATTGAAAAGTTCAAAGTCTACATATAAATGTCATTTATTTACATTCTTACCCTGTAAGTCTCCAATGGGCATCACGACTGGCTGAGATCAGATAAGCAGGTTTTCCTGCCTTCTCAGCCACCCACAGGTTATTTTCCAGGGACAGGATTCCCACGTGAGAAACACTTACCAAGTACTTACACTGGTAGCATATCAAATAGTATCAATATGAAAAAAGAACAAGAAGAGAGTTTCAAACATACTTTTCTAGAGTGGCAAGCAGGGGGTCTGGTTCTGTACTGTTCTGAATTTGTAACATCTGGTCTCTGCTCAGGCGAACGATTTCACAAAGTGACTGTGATGCATTTGAATGCCGCTAAAGGAAAGAGTACAATTTTAACTATAAAACACATCAGAAGTCAAATTTATAATAAAATAAATTTAGTGAAGAAACTGCTTAAGAAATAACGCAAATTAACACTGGCCATAAGCTACAGTGAATAAAAAGCCAGGGTCCAAAGAAATAACATATGTCAAGCATGAGTATTTTCCCTTCCAGGCTTTACTTAACAATACCACAAACAAAATACACGTTACTTTGTGTAGGGTAATGTAATTAAAGTTCTGACAAGGAAAAATTTCTTTAATTAAATACCTGAAGAAAAATATAACCCCCCAAATTTATATACTTTTAGCAGCAAAGAAAGATGAACACAATTCTCTGCCTTAAAAAAATAAACGCAGCTTTCTGGAATATACTAATGGATAAGAAATATTACTTCTTTCAGTGCACAGTGTGCTATTCTACAGGAAAGTTCTGAAATCTCAGCACCAAACACCTATGCTCAGTGGCATGTGGCAATGAGCATCACCTGCCCAGTGAGACCAGCAGGTTCCAGCACAGATGACAACACACACCAGGATATCAAAATCCACTGTTTGCAATCAGGAGTCTAACATTTCCTCAATAAATATATGTAATTCATCACTTAATACAAAACGGAAGTATCAACAGGACTGTCCAAAAGACAAAATTAACTTTTCCTGCAAGTCAGTTAGAGAAGGTGCTCATGCCCCAAATGCTTTGTCCTTTGCAAAAAAAAGTTGCTGCAGAGTTGGGCTTCTCCTCTGTCAACTTCTCCTGGACCCTTCAGACAGGGACAGTACCTGCTGAGCAGGAACCTAGTGATGAGCAAGCCTTGTCTGTGGATGTGTCCTCCCTACCCCATGAATAGGGCAGGCCACGCTCCTGTCCTCACTCTCCTCGGCCTGCACCGGCCACATTTCCAGCACATGGGAAATGTGCTCTTGGAACCATCCAACTCCCCCAGCCACAGCAGGAGGGCTCATCACCCCAACCAGGCCGAGGGCGCCGTCGAAGCTCTAGCACCCAATACGTGCACACACTGGAGTGTCCTTCCTGACAGTCAGCAGTAACGATACTGCAGCGAGCACATGATGTACTGTCTCAGGGGAGGGTGGGAATCAACAGCCCCTTTAATGGTTAGCTCTTTTCTTTTTGGAAGGGGGCGGTGGGCTGGGGAGCCTGCTTTAGATAAACTCCAGGTACCAACAGTTTTTTAATGGACTGCAGTAGAAGGGGCTACATCTACCTCCACAGGAAATCTGTCTTGGTGAGGAGAACACGCTCCGGCCACATGCTCCTTCCTCTGCACTGTCTCCTCTATGGTGCTCACTCTCCGATTAGTCCAAGCTAGAGACATCCAAGGAGGCTGCCCATGCCCCATGACATACCCTGCATGTTGTCTGAAACAACTCCTTTGTAGATACTACCTTGAACCACGTGGGACTGTCATTTCCATAGGCAGAAATGGCCAAATGCTGGCAGCTCCACAAGGGTCAGTCCACTACTGAAGGCGGCAACAAGGGCAGCAGCAGAGAAGCAGGGGGACAGCATCCTCTACAGCGGCATACCCGCTGGTCCTCGAGACCCCACCCCGCCCCCAGGCATACCCTCAGCATGGAGCTCAACGTGCAAACTCCAAAGCAGCTTCAATTCTACTGCCAAGTCAATCTTTAGCACCCAGGACAAAGGCCAAACCTGTGAGCACAAAAGCCCGAGCCAGGAAGTAGAACCACCAAGAGCTCATCCCTCTTAAGGATTCAATGGTGACCAGGATCCTGCTGCGCTGCCTGGAAAGCTTTAGCCAGAATGGAAAAAGCAAATGCACACAAACGTGGCCACATCATTTGGGCTAATGATGGGTATAAAAGAAAAACAAAGTGTGGAGGAGGTTTGTAATGAAGGCAAAGCAGATGCAGCACGAAGTCTCAGCTCTAAAAAGGAGAAGGAGCTAGACCCAAGGCTCACTGTTTCACATTTCAGGAAATTTTCTGAGTATCGGCAAAATGCAACATTTTAAAAAGCCTTTGGTGTTTAGAAACCTGCCAACTTGAAGAATGCCAGGTGATCGCTGTTACCTACCCTCTACCTTCACACCTAGTACAATTATGCTCTGTGCCCAAATAAACATGGTTCATTTTTTTTTTTTTTTAAATCAAGTTTATAGTCACACAAGAGAACTTACATCTTCTTCTTGCGATGGATGAACTATTTCCACAAGCCTCTGGATAATTTTCTCCTCATTTAACCACTGTAAAACACATTGTAGAAGTAATCATAGCAATGAGTGGCTCTTGTTCAAGCCCCAATGAAGATAAACATACTTGGAAATATCCATCACATTTTAAGTAGAATGTTACAGGTTTTCTCTGGACTTTGAACACTACAGGAAATTAAAAGTCCCCCAAGGAAAATGCCAGTGAATATATTATTTTAACAGTAGCTACAGTACCAACTACTCCCCAAGTCACAATACCCACATCCAAAAATTCTATACATCAGTTTCTTAGTGATGTTAACTCTCAGACACTGAGTACTAAAACGGTCTGTACTTTGGATATGAAGCGGAGGGGGGGTGGGGATGGAACTTATACATTTTCTGTAAGAGAGCATTCACTTTAAGAGAGCTTCAAAAAGGCTGAGAAAAGCAATATTTAGTAGCAAGCCTCTGGCTTAAAACACATGATAAACTTTTACCTTCTAAAACCAAAACAACCGCAGGAAACGTGGGGGCTGGCGGGCACCACAGAAACAGAGTTTGTCTGCCCTGCCACACGCTAGCAAGCTATTACCATGATTAGGACACTCTCTTCTTCCACCATATATGAAATACTGCCATGAATGAAAATATGAAGGGGATGAAAATGAATGAAAAATCAGCCGGCGTGATATTAGTTCCACAAGGAACAGGAACACCGTAATAAACAAGGCACTCACTACCTGGAACGGGCGCGCACACACACAAAATCCCAAAGGTTAACAGAGATGGTGGCGGGGCTGGGGGTGGGGTGGGGTGAGGCTAGGGGTGGGTGGCAAGAAATTGGACACGCTTTGCTAAAGGCATGTGGAGAAATTCTTAGGTTGTCTCTAGGCTCCTTAAGGAGAACATGCCAAAGGAAAATGCAAACAAAAGCTATTAGGAGACTACCACAAAGGCAGAGGCCCAACTTTACATTTTAAGATGTTTTAAAATGTGTACCCTGTGTTTGAATCTGTTCAAACACAGATTCTGACTCAGCAGGGCAGGGGTGAGACCTGGGATTTCTAACATGCTCCCAGGGGATGTTTGGGACCAAACTCTGAGTAGCAACGACCTAAAACAGGATGCAAACACCCTTACATAGGAGGTGGGGCAGAGGGTCCTGACGGCCAAGGGAAAAAGTAGGAAACTGTGGGCAGTGAATGAATCAAACGCCCACCCTCATGACTCCACAGCTATTAACAAGCACCAACAGTCCAAGCCCACGGTGGGCCCCCCAATCAAAGTAAGACATTTAGGAGTTTCTAACTACCCTTCCCCTGACCTACGCCTTTATTAACGACCCACCACCATATCCCTCCAGAAATGCTCCTATTCCTTTGGAAGTGGGCCCTAAAATTCAACCCAGCAGTGACCAAAGGAATTCTAAGAAACCATACTGAATAATTTCCCCCAATAATAATCCAAACATAAAGGTGACCATCCCTCTTATCCTTAACCACCTTCCCTGGAATCCCCAACCTCTACTGAGAAGAGATTCACATCCACAAAAGCACACCTAAAAAGGGCCAGAGTCCCAATTTAGGGCCCTCTCCCATAGGCAACTCCCAGGCCATCCACGAGGCCCCCGCTGCTGACTTCCTCACATGACCACGGGTCTCAGTAGACCTCTGCCTGCTCCTACAGACCCAGCCCTGACCCGACCCCCAGACTCTCCCACTCACACAAACACATGCTCCGGCACGCCTGCCCACCTCGGTAGAACATGTCCTTCCGTGGGACACCACCCGACAGACCCTCCTTCTGGGCCTTCAGGTCTTTAGCTTTTTCAATAAAACTTGTTTCCAGAGTTCTAAGGTTTGAGGTTGAGTATTAAAGATGGATTGAGGGACTTCCCTGGTGGCGCAGTGGTTAAGAATCCACCTGCCAATGCAGGGGACACGGGTTTGAGCCCTGGTCCGGGAAGATCCCACATGCCATGGAGCAACGAAGCCCATGCGCCACAACTACTGAGCCTGCGCTCTAGAGCCCATGAGCCACAACTACTGAGCCCACGTGCCACAACTAATGAAGCCCATGCACCTAGAGCCCGTGCTCCACAACAAGAGAAGCCACCGCAATGAGAAGCCCACACACCGCAATGAAGAGTAGCCCCCGCTCGTCACAACTAGAGAAAGCCCACGTGTAGTAACGAAGACCCAACACAGCCAAAAATTAATTAAAAAAACAAAAAAGATGGATTGGACTGGGGAATGGTTCTGGAAGGAGGCGGTGAAAGGGACAAAAGAGAGGAAGAGACAGAAGACAAGAAGCAAAGACGAGAGGCTGTGAGAAACCTCATCGTCAAGTCACTCACACCCTCCTCTTCCCACCCAAATCCCACCCAAGGCAGCTCCTCAGGATACACACATGTCCTGAAATAACCACCTCACCAAATTTTAAAATATGTGCCCTTTTGGAGGTAAACTCCTTTCTCCTTATCCCATGCTCCTAGGTATCCACGAGAAGAAAGTTACTTCTGAAGCCAGATTCCCTAGAAATGCCAACACCTCTTCTTTTTGACTTTCAGAGATATCTCTGCAGTGTGACCATCTTCTCAAGAAAGAAGCCTCACAGAATTCTCAGATGAGACTTTTAGCTCCCATTCTACCTTCCCACTCCCACTGAAGAACAAACCAGCAAAGGGAAAGAACCCCTCACAAGGAGACAGCCTATATACCTAGGGATGTGCACGTCGGGAATCCTAATCCTGAAAAATCTGAATCTCTTCCCGTTTTGGAATCCACCCCCCACCCCCGTTTCCCAGACCACTTTCTACCAATCCCCTAGAATCCCGCCCAGACTGAGCAGCCCAGCAGCTCGAGCACCACTCCCCAGCCCGTCCACAGCAGCCGTGATCCTACTCACATTCAGCACATCCTGCCTGGGCTGTGGGGGCTCAATGCACGTCAAGAGCCTGAGCAACAAGTCCATGATGGCCGATGTTCCTATGTGCTTCATAATAAGGTCCACAAAGTCACGTTTCTTCTTTAGGAAATCCACAATCTAGAGGAGAACAGCCACAACTGAAAGACACATCACTTGGGAACTATCAACTTTAGGATGCTTTCAGTCATGACCCATCTAGCTGCCCCCTCCAAAATCCACCACCACTTTAAGTTAAGGAAAAGCAAATGCTGAATTAGTAGTAAGGTGTCAAATTGGAAAGCCTTCTAATTGTTACAGCATTCAAAAACCTCTTGGGGAAAAATACCTCTTAAATTATCACATGTTCCCTAATACAAACACACCATAATCTTTTATTTCTGTTCACTTTTATTATTAATTCTCAAATGAGGACTAAAAATTTAACACCCTATAAAGAGCAAGCGAATACACCACTTAATAGTTTATGGACATAAAGCAAGTCCATTAGGCTTTACATGAAAACACAGAATAAACAATCAAAATCCTAACTGTACTCTAGCAAGTAAGAAAAATAAAAATATAAAGATTTCTACATCGAAGTGGCTAACTCATGTGCCATAGAAAATCACATTTGCATTTTATGTCAGCAATTCACCTGATCATATTAACACAGGGAGGGTGAGTGAGTGTGGAAGAGGCTGACAGTTACCCCGAGGAGTTATGAAAACAGTCACACAGTCATGACCGCCACCTGGGTCTCTTCTGCGCAGGTGGAAGAAGGCACCTGTTCTGTCCTGGACACCCTTGTGTACCTTCTGGTTTCTGTCCGTGTGCACAAATCACCTGTTCTAAAGTCCCAGAAGCAGCACAATCAGCATGGCAGCTGCCCTGACAAAAGTCTCACCGGAGTCTCTCAGAAGCCTGTGAGGTAGGGTTGCTCAACTCAGTGTTATAGATGAGGAAACTGAGGCTCAGACCAGTGAAATATCTTGCTGGAAGCTAAAAAGTGGATGCCCTGAGATTTAAATGCCCCCAAAGCCACAAGTCTGCCATTATCCCACACAACGTCTAACAGCCAGGGATGAACTAAAAACTGCCTCACACCATCAGGTGTAAATGCAGGATTAACCATCACATGTTGCTTCTCTAGACAATGAGGTTGAACTCTGTAACATAAACCTTCAAGAAGTTATACATAATTAATCCACTCACAACTGAGTCACATGGTAGTTTTTTTTTTTTTTTTTTTTCTTGCGTTATGCGGGCCTCTCACTGTTGTGGCCTCTCCCATTTGCGGAGCACAGGCTCCGGACGCGCAGGCTCAGTGGCCATGGCTCACGGGCCCAGCCGCTCCGCGGCATGTGGGATCTTCCCGAAACGGGGCACGAACCCGTGTCTCCTGCATCGGCAGGCGGACTCTCAAGCACTGCGCCACCAGGGAAGCCCACATGGTAGTTTTTAAAAGCACAGTGGAGAAGAGAGGAAGAAAAAGTCAAATGTGGCCAAAATACTGCATTATTTAGTGGCAAAAGCACTGACTCTGGAGCCCAAAGGCACAAGTCCCAGCCAGTGCCGTGGTAGCACAGCAGGGACAGCAAGCTGGAGGACGGCACTGCTGGGGGGCCCGCCCATCCAACACTGACGATGCTTCACGCAGCTGGACCTCCCGCTCCACGAGTTAATGAATGTCTGTACTGGTTAGGTCAGACTGAGTCTGAATTTTTTTCATTACTTGCAGTTGCATATATCCTTACTAATACATTGTGTGATGGGAAACCTTTATTTACACTCAAAATTCTCAAAAGGACAGAAAGGTGCAGTGTGACCTTTCCCTGAAGGCGAAAGAGCAAGGGCTCTCGAATCCGCTCGCGGCTGAGGGCTTAAACGAGAAGCCCGACGAGCAGCAGAGCAAACAGGCCCTCCTCTCGGCATTTCATTGGCACGTGCCATGTTCCTTACACAGGTAATATGTCTGGCCTCGAAGACCAATGCAAATATGTAGAACACCAGAGAGCTTAAAGTGTATTCTCACTCTGTAATAAAGGTACACTGAAATCCAGGACCCACAAATTTGGGTTTCCCTAGAACAGAGTGAGGAGAAAAGCAAGATGAAGGTGTGAGCCCTTTCTCAACTGTGACTACAACCATCTGGAACTGACTAGGTACCTTAGACTGATGGGATGGCTTGCACTTTCCTAAAACAGTCAGTAGTACTGTCACTTCTCATCAAAAGACAGAAGAAGGAACGACAATCTGTATTGCAGTGATCATGATTTGGGGATTACTATCTAAGGAAAAAGAACCTCAATTCCAATACACTTAGGAAGGTAATCCTGCTCAATTAAGAACATGAAAGAACAGCCTCGTCTAAAATAAGACATGTATCCACTTTGCCTTGGCAAAGGACAGACGTACTGGGCCTAAAATAGTTCCAGTCCCTCCATGTCTGCTGACAGCAAGGACGGGTCAAGGAGCCTGTTTTCCACCACGAAGGATGCCAGGTCCAACTGGTGTGACCCCTGCACCCCTGTCATCACACCCCTGCTGGCTGCACTCTGCAGGACTGTTAGTTTGCACTCGGGCATCTGAGGCTGTTGCTGCTCCCTGGGTGCCTGTTTCCATAAGTGGATCACAGTCTCCTCATAAGCAGGTCCTTTTCCACACCAGTTCCCACTAGAGCAGTGATTCTCAAATTTCAGCGTGCACCACGGTCATCTGGGAGGCTTCTTAAATCCCAAATTGCTGGCCCCACCCCCAGAGGGTCTGATTCAGTAGGTCTGGAATGGGGCTCAATATCTTGCTTTTCTAACAAGCTCTCGGGTGGTACTCATGCTGTTGGACCAGGGACCACACTTTCCAGAACCACTACACATACGACAGATACTTGGAAAGTAAGTTTCCCCAGTACAGTACATCTAAATTAAGAAGAAAATGAAGCGTGGGGG